CATGAGCACTGTCTAAATTTAAAACTTTATCATAAAAATCATCATAAATATCACTTCAGCCCCTCGCTTAAACCAGGTGGCATTCCTAAGCTCTGAGCAAGATTACTCATTCTCTCTTTCATGGCCTGCAGTTTCAGATGAGATATTAAGAATTTTAACAATAAACACTAACTACACAAATACGACAACAAACACAAATTCTTGATTTAAACGGTCTAACAGTTAGGCGGTTCTTTGACTCGTCACACTTTTTAAACAAAACTACATACTAATGCTATGAAATATTATAGTTTTTTTTTGAGAGAATGGCATTTCAAACGGAAAGTAAGTTTGAAAGTATGCATATCTGTTAGAAAATTAATGGTTGTCTAACCGTTAGGTATCATTAACACCACCTTACAAAATAATAAATACAAATTAAAAGGAGGGCATAATAAGAAAAGGAGAAAAAAAAAAATTCTCTTACCAAAACACTCTTTTGGTGCGCGTCCTGATAAGCCTCGGTCACCAGAAGAGACAGTTTCTGAATAAAATACGACCGTTTATTAGTTGCTCATTCGAATTGACGGTTTTCAAGCGGCAAGAGGAACATTTATTTCAATGGACAACATATTTTTTCTTGCATAAAACTAGCAAAACCCACAGATAAATCCACATGTTCCTATTTTACTTTTTATATACGAAATTGCACATCACAGAGGGCTGATTTGTTAGAAAAAAAAAAAAGAAAAAAAAAAACATCAAGGATAGGGAGTTAATTGTAAATTCCTTAAGTATACCAAAAGTAAGCTAAAATGTGAGAATTGATCAGTTTTTCAATTGGGATGTGAATGTTTCGAACTTCGAACTAACTTACTTCGGCTCCTAACTCCATTGCGGCTTCAGTTATCTCAATACGCACAGGTTGTTGATTTCCCGAAAGTGTTGCCTATTTGAAAAAAAAAATTATAGGAAAAGCCGAATACGTAAAGTAAATAATTTCAGCAACAATCGTCGTGTATACTGAAAGGTAATAATCGAAATTGACAATCACTTTTTCCTGAATTTTTTTACCTTTATTAGCTCGCCTTCGCAATAACCATCAAATTCAGCTCTGGTATAATCAACACGAATACAGTCAAACCAAGAATTATATATCAGAATCCATATATTTTGAGATCTGAATACTGAAAAAGAAAATTGAAAAAAAATAATGAAAATAAGTTGAACTTTGAAGTAGTGGTCATACGCAGCAAGTTCTTTTTGTACTCGTACTGCCTCAACTTGGACAACCATCTGAGCCTTCTTTACCGTCTCGTATAAATTTTGCATGTTTCCCAATATTCCTGCCTATTATAGAGCATAATATATATACAGTTGGTTAAAATCAGTGTTTAACACGAAATGAAATATTAAACGAATTAAGAACAAATGAGGTGCCTTTGAGCCATCTTCACTCTTTTCGTTGCTGTCTTTCTTTCCACCAAATAGTGCATTGATTCGAAGAGATCTTCTTGAACTTCGTCCAACTCGATTTACTTGCAATGACAAATTCGAAAAGCCCACAAGATTTGCACTTTGATGTACCTTACCTGATATGCAACAATAAAGAGAGGTCTAATGATCATAGCACTAATAGAAAACAAGGATGAATTTTGTACATGGGTGACTAGAGTTTGGGACTTTATGAATCGAAGAAAAGATCGAATTCACCTTCAGTAATCTATCAAATACACTACATGGGCCTTTTTTTCTGTTTTCTTCACACGTATTTAACTATTTATAATTTACAAGTTCAGTTTTCATCATCTTTGGCGCTTTCTATATAAATAAACAACTGTATTCAGTAATAACATTAGTTCTAGAAAGAACATCCATATGACATTTCTCAATTCATCACAAAATTTGCTACATAATCAGCATCATTATTTCTAGTAAATTCTAGGGCCTTTTTTTAACTCACATAGGACCAAAATGGATACACCTCTGTTCATGCATATGACAATGAAAGCTATTTTTTTTTTTTATCACTCACTGATGTTCTTACAAAGCATCATCACCTTGAACTCTTCATAACTTTTTCGAATATTGCAAAAAATTGGGTCTTTAGCTAAGAATCGCAAACACAAGAACCAAACTTTTTTCCTTCAACAAATTCTGTAAACCATAGTATCATGTCCCAGGAAATAAATAGTTGCTTCAATTAAATAGAGTGCAAAATCAACAAAATCGATAAACACCATCAGGGTATAGAAACACCTCAAATGTTCAGCTAAATTACTTCCTAAATTCTAAGAAACAATAAAATTCATGAAACCCTGTAGCTAAAACAACTAGTTCTTGCAATTAAATAGAGTGCAAAATCGACAAAATCGATAAACAACATTGCTGCATAGAAAGCCCTCCAAACGTTCAGCGAAATTACTTCCTAAGAGACAATAACTCATGAAATCCTGTTGTTAAAACAACTCGTTCTTGCAATTAAATAGAGTGCAAACCGAAAAAATCAACAAACGCCATCGCTGTATAGAAAGACCTCCTAATGTTCAGCTAAATTAGTTCCCAATAAAAATAATTCAACAAACCCCTGTAGCTAAAACTACTCGTTCTTGCAACCAAGAAACTTCCAAATATACTAAATTTGGCAGCTGAAAAAGGTAGCATACAAGAACCCCAGATTCAATTGTACCTAAAATTACAAATAATACACACACAGAGAGAGAGAGAGAGAGAGAGAGAGAGAGAGAGAGCTCTTACCAGAAGAGAACGAAGAAGAACAATGAAATTGAGCCGCTAAAGCTGCACTTGGATAAACTGCCATATCTCAATTACACGGATTAGACTGAAAGATCCTAATTTGCGGAAGATTCAGCACAGGAAATGGGTAGACGGAGAGAGATTTGGAGGGTTGGGGTAAGGTGTGGAGTTTCTGATAAAAATCTCATCTTTACAAAAGGATGGGATCCCCTGTAAGAATTTCAAGGTCCAAAATTTACAGAGGCACCCCTCAAGATTTTAGTGCTAATTTGCTCTACCCAATTAGGATACTTCTAAATTGTGATGGGGCCCATGTAATTTTAAGGAATTCGTTTGAGACCACCACATTTGGTCCTTTCATTTCGGATATTCACACTTTAGTCCTAGTTTTCTTCTACTACTTTTTTTTTAGTATGATTGATGAATGGATTTATTATTTAATTTTTATTAAATTATTTCATTTAAATAAAATTTTGTGAACAATTATGGTAACGCAAAACACTCCGACCGGCTTGAATCAGTTTGCCTCCTTCTTCCTCGCCGGTAGAACGCCGCGTTCCTACACAGAACTCTCACACCGGAGGGGTTTTCCGGTGAAGAGCCTCCGATGCTTAAGTCAGTATGTGTTTGTTCAATTCTCCAAAGTAAAGAATGGATAAATCGTAAGTCACAAGAAAAGACCCACTCCCATATATATAGGAGTGAGATACCTGCCCTAAAAACTGCCCGACTTTTGATGAGCTGTCATGCCCGTACTGCCCGTCCGTGCACACATAGTGTGTGTGTGTCAGAGATGTCAGGGGTGGTTTTCGCCACTATCACTCTGCACCAATATATTCTCGCCACGTGTCCCTCTGAGCTAAGGGAGATTATTCTTCTGCGCAGGCCGTTGGGATCTTATAACGTCACCCACGCGCCTTCTCGCGTTCAAGCCACGCTCTAAACTGCTCTTCACCTGTTGAGCGCTCGATCTCTTTCCTTTTGGTCGATCCTCGATCAGTTCTGCTATTCTGCTCGATCTTCTCCCTTTTGGTCGATCCTCGACCAGTTCTGTTATTCTGCTCGATCTCCTCCTTTTGGTCGATCCTCGACCAGTTCTGTTATTCTTCTCGATCTCCTTCTTTTTTGGTCGATCATCCTTCTCCCAACCCGGTTTTCTCCACTTCGAGGTTGTTCGGCCGATGATGCAAACCGGTCTATTCCTCAGCTATATAATATCCCATATCAAATTATAAAACAAATAATTAAATTTATAAAATTCGTTTGATTTTCTTAATATGTTTTGGATTTTTTTTGTTCTTAATAATTATATGCAAATTTTTAAAACATGGTGGATAACCCAGGCTAGCCTCTGGGTCATTGGGCCAATAAACCAATATTTTATTGTAAAACATATTAAACTAAATTTATATTGTTTTTATCATATAATTATACATAAAATAAAAAACAAAAAAATATATGAGATTTTATACCTCAAAATCTTAATATTGTTGTATTTTATCATAAACATTTCCCACATAAATATAAATGAATAATTTTATTTTTAAAAATAAATAAAGTATCAATACTCGGGTCGACCACTTGAAGGCCCAAGTCGATCGGGTCCTTTGTTGTCAGTCGGAAGCATTGATTATATGGGAATGATTTAAAAGGGATTATAAATATTATCTCATCCCATCCTGCAAAGTAAACAACGACTAAGGATTTATATGCTCCTCCGATTCTCTCTATATTTATGCGCCGCCATGCACCATGAATATTAAGCAGCTTCGAAAATCTCTACAATTAAATGGAAATCTCATCAATTAAATATTGTGTTGCAAAATCTGATCATTATATAGCCAAACGACCAGTTATTGATGGATGAATAATTAGCTAACCCATTTTTCACCATCTTCAAACAAAGTGAAGTACGACACATTTTCCAAATTCAACTTTAAATGATATTTCTTGCACCGTATATATTAATCAATGCAGCAAACGAGCCTTAGGATCATAGTTTGCACTACTCTAGAGTCAATGAAATAAAAACCAAGTTTTGAGATGCTTTATTTTTATTCTCATTATTTTAAATCAATTTTAATGTTAGAATGTAACTAATTAAATGTAGAATTTAAACAACAATTATTTTCACAATCTTGGCGGGTTTGCTAGTCGTTACAGATATTATTATACAATTTTGTTTATAAAATAAAATTTACTTCATAGTAGTTTAATATAAATCTATTTCTCTATAACAATATTAATACAGTACAACTCATAAGTTCGTATACTGTTGTAGCAAATTATTTTATTACCGAGTACCGAATCGAATGATCCGTTCCCTGGGTCGATCTCTCGAGGAAGGCGGTTCGGAATCTAGAATTGGTGTTGATGACACACGAAAGCAAAATAAATCCTAAACACTCTAATCACAATTAGGGTTTGAACTATCAACTAGGAAATAACAGAAAATGCATAAAATATAAATTAATCCAAAAACATGAAACAAACAATGGTAAAGAAGCTAGGGAATCGGGAATATTTGTTTCGGTTCGAATTGCAGTTAACGGGCAAGTGATTGTTCGGTTAAATGATTCGAATAACCTACTCGTTCAGAGATTCATCCTCAATAACTTTTCGTAACAAGAGAACAAACGTGAACGGAAAATTAACGATTCGTTTAACACCTAGGCAATATAATTACGAACAAGCCTAGTTTATACAAGCCTAGATCGATCGGCTCCTCCCTTTCGGTTCTAAGAGCCGATTAAATTATCCTAGAAGATGGTTAATCAACTAGTCATTTAGAATTAATAACATCACGCAAGAACGAATCAAATTCAATTGAAAATCAATTGGAGATTGAAGTGTCACCCTTCAACAATTCTTAACATTCAAGCATAATCATCGAAAACCCTATTTAAGAATAACACGTATGAATTGAACAATCAACGAACACAATAATCACAAACGAAACCAAAACATCATCCCCTATCCCTAGCAATTGGGTTTAGCCACTCATATTCAATTCAACACCATCAACCACAACAATCAAAGCAATCATATTCATGGATTAAATGAATAGAAAACTTACGATTAAAACGGAATTGAGAGTTGAATCTGAAATACAAGATTAATCCGAAAGTAATGAAGAAATCCAAGTGAAAAACAAGATCAAGATGGTGTTCTTAGGGTAAGAGAAGGGAAAAATGGGTTTTTGGGGGATTTTTTTGGTTTGGGAACAAGTCCCAATGCAAAGTACTCGAACAAATGAACAAATCTAACTTTTAAAATTCTGGTCGCGACCTCCGCGGCCGCGGGAAGCTCCGAGGCCGCGAGATTTCAGCTGCAGAAGGGCTCAGCGGCCGCGGGATTCCTCCGCTGCCCGCGGTGAAGAAAATTGGGCTGCTGCGCGCAGCTTAATGTTTCGGGCTCGTTTAGGCTCGTCCGAACTCGGAATTGAGTTTCGTTTTTTCCTACGCGTCGCTAACGAACCCCTCTACATTCGCTTCCCCGTCGAGGCGGCAGGCGGTATATTTAATCCTTCTAGATTTGGTTGTCATTGATCTCGAAATATTGGCGAGCGCGATTCAACACGCATTCAGATCCACTCCATTAAAGGTGGGAAGAATTAACTTAGGCCTCTCACGGTGTTGCCTTTCCTTATGATTCGAACCCCTTGAGAAACATCGTCGTCCACCGCGAATTCATTTAAAAATTCGCGTTCTCCTTCAGATTGATTGCATTCTCTCTTCCAATTGCTCGAGCCTCTCTCGATTTGTCATGGTGATACACGATTAATTAGCACTCTAAATGGAAGCACCAATCTTGCAAATCGTGTATCGAACTCTCGAATTTGTTAAAAACCCGCGCTAACGACCTTGGTTTAGATACGATTTGTGCTCGAAAACGAGCATTTTTTATATTTATTAACTTGAATAATGAAAATCTGATATAAGTCACTAACATCACACATAACACCTAACTCAATTTAAACATTCAAATGAATAACTAATTTGCCATAGCCAACTTCCACTAACTTCCAGACCCTCGCGGCGCGGCGGGGTGTCGCCTGGTCGAATCCTAGCCTCTGCCGTCGTGAAGGTCTCCGCGACAAAGCTCGCGGCATGAGCTTTCTGTCTCTTTTAACATCTACCATTGAATAACTCATTATTTCAACTAATTCCCTTATAAATTAGTCATTTTTTTTATTTTTTTTTTGCAAATTGCCAAATATAAATTAAATTTGGTACTACCGCTAGAGATGACGAGTATAATGGTATTTTCACAAGCCAAAATGACTAGTTTTCAACTTTTCAAAATTCATTTTTCATTTTTTTTTATGGTATTTTCACAAGCCAAAATGACTAGTTTTCAACTTTTCAAAATTCATTTTTCATTTTTTTTTATGGTTATATTGTGGTATTACCAGTAACCATAAAAGAAAAATACGCTTACCAGAAATAGGAACCGACCCGTCTGTTTTAGGAACCGGAACTGTACTTTCCCCGGCGGTTCCAACTCCAAATACATTGGGCCCGGTGACGCCAGCACGTTTGGCCACCCCTACCAACCGTTATTTCTTCTCAGTTCCTCACTGGAATATTGGGTTTTTAGGGATAAACCGATAAAGCAAAATTAATCGATCCGTGATCCGCCATCCATCCGCAGTTCTTGACCTATAATTTGGTAACACGCAATGATGGTGAGACTTTGCTGTAACTATTTTGAAACACACTAACACGCATTGAAGTCTCTGTTTTTATGTACATGATCTTTTGCTCTTGCTGAATTTTCATGTGAAGTCGTTGATTTTCTGTTTTAATATGTTCTGAAATTCGTAGGCGAACTCACTTCGATTGTACTTGACCTGCATCCGGAACACCCTGGAAGCCGCATTGTGCTTACAGGTATATGATTTTGTTCATTTTCAGCAGCTTAAAGTGAAACCGATTATAATTTTTTATTTTGATTCGTTTTTGGGGTGGATAGTTGTGTAGCTCATTGTTTTTTCCCAAATTACTATTGATTATCGTGAGGTTTACGATTATTTGTTTGACTGATCCATAAATTTCTGCTTTTGCTATGTCTTTTGTAGAATTTCCCCTGTCAGGAAGTTGAAAGGCACAATAAACCGGAAGTTGAACTCAAGTATGTTATGTTCTTTTCCTATATCTATCTTTGGTGATTGCTTTGATCTTTTTATGTTATGTATTGAGGGCAGAGGTTGTATTTAGAACTTTTATCCGTCCACATGAGGCTGCCTGTGCAGTTAGATTGGATGAGCTAACAAAATATCAATTTTGGCGCACACATTTGTTAAAGAGTATGGCGTTTCTTGAAATAAAATGCATTTTTGCTAAAAAGAAAGTATGGCGGTTCGACCCGGCTGACAGTTAGGCTGTCTCACACAAAAAATTGTGCAAAATTTAATTTCCTGGGTTATGGTATAATGATCCTGCTGCAGGAACTGTTTAATTCTTGTTTTGTTGATAGTGAATGAGTATTGAGTTATTTCTAATTGGCATTTGATCGACCACTTTGTTGTATGATGTTAACCAATAGAAAATCAAACTTAGTGGTCCATTTCAGCATAGGGCAAATAGAATTGTACCAATTTTGACGCTCACCTCACTAGAGATTTGCTTGAAACTGCTTTAGTTTCCTGACTTCATCTTGTTCAAAGATTTTTGCTGTAACTGTAGTTTTGGGGAAACTGCTTCAGTGGATGTATGAATTATATGCCACTGTCCTGAAATTATGTTTTAGTGTTTATGTTCTGAATATTGCTGATGGAGTTAAATTGGAAGTTTAGCTATATCCAACTGTGATACCAACTACAAGCAGGTCTCAATTGTTGCTTTGTGGTTTTCAGGACGAGTCCGGAGCTTCTTCTGAATCCTGTAAGAATCTTCTTCTCTAAGTATGCTGACTTAAATTTTCATCCAATCGTTTTCATCATATTGGTCTAGATGAAATTTAACGATTGGTGTGTGGTTCTAAATTGTACCTAGCTGCTAGTTTGCTACTACACCAAAGAATTTGTGGCATTGAAATATAAATATGGTGAGAGGATTACTCGAAAGCTTTCGCTTATACTTTAGGTGATTGTTTTGTATTTCCAAACTTGTACAGAAACTACATGTGTGGCCTTATTGCTGAAAAACATTAATTATAGAGGTACCTAATTCTTCATGAGAAAATATTAGTGATGCAGAAAGATGTAATCATATTGTGCTTTATTGATGTAAAGTGAATCAGCTTGAAAAGTATATGCCTTACCATTGCTCCTAGTAGGTATAGTTGGCTTGGTTGACAATAAGCAAAGCAACGTCATCCTTCCTTGAGTCCTAGCTTATTAGTTATCGTTATTTGAGAACTTTATTTGTAAAATTGACTTTTCCACAGACTGGTAATACATACAATCATCGAGTTACTCATGCTTTTCGATGGTTTTGGATGTTGTAAAATATGCTATTCACACTCTTTGTAAAAGGATTATTTTCATGAATCCTCTTAGCATGGACAAGACTTGTTTAATCTATTCCATGTTATCCTCATAAGTGTACCTCTCTTGAGCTTTCCTCATGTGTTCGTTGACTAGGTACTTTCTGTTACGTGAATCTAAATCATGTTGCCCGTCTCTTTCTCCAAATAAGCATCTCTACTAATATAGTGACTTGTATATGAAAATTATATTTAGTTAGACCCTACTTTTTACTGGATTATACTAACTTTCTGTAACTACTATCACATACCATCTCACAGGTTCTAATCTGCAGAAATGAGGCTGAGAAATGTTTGATAGAAACGTCTATAAACTCATTACGGATAAGCCTCAAGGTAAATTCTGGCATGTTATTTGTTAGTTCCCCTTCTTTGTCAATTTTGAAAGTGTTGATAAACTCTTTGTCAACTGTTTCTTTACATTTCACATTGATTAGCTTCTTTTATTTCAGATCTACTTATCTTCGTTTCTTTGACATTGATGGTATGGTAATGTTTTTATATGCTGTTGCTATATTTGCATATATTCTAAGCCCAACCATTGATGTTTCATGATTCATGAAGTCCAAAAGTAATCTATCTCAGTAAGAAATGTGGTTTATTACTTTAGTATGGCCAATAGTCAATGAAAACTTTGCCATGAAAGATCCAAGTTCTGATGGCATTCTACTATTAGCGTTTAGGTGAATGTGAAAAGGGAAAACAGAAAGGAGGTGATCCTTTGGTAAAGACCATTGATTTTATGATGATCTTATGGCAGAAAGGCTTGGGCATTATTAGTTTTCACCTTGGAAACTTGGCTTTACTTGGGAAGCAGTGGTTTCTTTTCCAAGTCAAGGGTGATGCTCTATAATGTGTTCTTATTAGGAGTAATATGAATTCACAGATAACAGGTGAGATGCAGGTTTAACTGTTAAAACCACATTTCGGAAACAGGAGTGTTTCTCTAATTTTTTTTGCAGATTTCTGTTAATCATTCATTGCCAAGTTTTGGGGCAATTATCGGATCTTGGGAGAAATTGTTTGGGTAGTACTGAGGAGAGAATTCCTTCGAAGTGTTAACCCAAGCTCTATGCTGTATATCATCTTATCTAGATAAACCAATATTCCCTGTTTTAGTGATCCATTGTCGCCTTCCACATCATGGAAATTGATTTTTAAAGCGTAATGATTTGCGTTTTCAACGTAAACAGTTATGCTGTTAGGCTTCGTTGTTTGTTTTGTCAGTTAAAATTGTTGTTGCTGATGAGCTAGTTTTATATTAGGTTGTCAGGTGGCCCAAGTAGCAAGGATTGTAGCACTGATGCATTAGTTGCCTCCCAAAGCAATAATTTTGCACATCTTTAGTTATGCTGGTATTCTGTTTTCCAACATAGTTTGCCTATATTGTTGTGGTATAAGTGCATTCCTTCATCATAAATGTAGAATTTCGAAGACTACTTTTCTACTCCGACCTGATACATTTGTTTCTACTACATACTTAAACATCTTTTACTTGTCTGCAAAATGAAATCTTTAATTTCCTCCGAAGCAAGTTTATTCGAAAATGTTGGAAGTATTGTAATTAAGACTTCCATTTGAGCTTGCCACTTTTTGCAATGTGTATACTCTCATCATAGATATCTCAAAGTTAAGAACATTTGTATTTTTTATTTTTTTATTTTATTGATGGCGTTCTCTATTGTAGGTTAAGCAGGCAGATGAACTTGAGAACATACTTACAAAGAAATTTCTCAGATTTCTATCTATGAGAGCAGAGGCATTTCAAGTATTGAGGAGAAAACCAGTGCAGGTCTGCATCCTTTATTAGTCATTAGATTCTATTTGTAACTTAAGAATTAAGCCAATACTCCTTTTAGTCCACAGAACATGAACCTGCTTCTATAACTGTAAATATTGGATATATTTCTCGTTCACGTATTACATCTGTTAGTTGATTCGTGTTCATCTTAAGGGAACTTGTAGTGTGGAACTTTTTTCTTTTCCTTGTTTTACTTTTTCATAAAAGAGCTATTCTGACGCAATGTACTTAAAGACACACCATAATGTTGTGTACCCTCTTGCTTTAGCTAATATTGCTTACCTGATTTGCATAGCTGTTGCCTGTTTATTGACAGACTTCTAACATTACTCTTTTCAACCGTTTACATTTCTCAGGGATATGATATCAGTTTTCTTATCACTAATTTTCATTGTGAGGAGATGCAGAAGCAAAAGCTTATAGATTTTATTGTTCAGTTCATGGAGGTAAGTATCTCTAGTTTTCATTCATTAACTTTGTATTTTATGAGATATGCAAGTTACAGATAGTTCACGTTGGATGTCACAAAATATTGCTAATTTCCATGCATTTTTCTGGGATTAAAAGTAAATTGTTACATGACATTTGATTTTGATTGATGGAAGAGAAGGCTTTAAGAAAGAATGAAAAAACACTCGGATAACTCTCATATTTTTCAAAAAGCTTCTGATATATAAGCGCTTATCAAAATTTTCTTTAAAACCAGAAAGGGAAATTTTTAATTTGCCTTTTCCTTCTGAAGTCGGTAAATGTATGAAATCTGAAGGATATATAGTGNGTCGGTTGTATGAAATTTGAAGGGTATATAGTGATTTTTTTTTTAAGCTGCTTATATTACATAAGTATGCGTTTTTGTTACAAAGGTATGATAGGTCGACCCGTCTAACGGTTAGGCCGTCTCATACAAGAATTTGTGTCATATTATTGGGTCACACTTCAAGGGTATTCTATGTAATTTCCCTTCAAAATAAGTACTTGCTTGGTTTATGTATCTATTTTACAAATAGTACTGAATGGAGGGAGTACTTTGTGAAATAGATATGAACCTGAAAGGGCTTTTTGTAACTGCCCGAGATGTTTTTTTTTTTCAACTTTCAGAGACTTATCAATAAAAAATTAAAAATTACTAAATCTTAGGGTACATATAATTAGCCCTCACTTGTATTACTACCATGCATAAGTTAACATGTTGTTTTGGCTTGTAATGATATAGAAATAATAGTATCATATTATAAGGTTTGCTTTGCAATCAAAGTGGTGGTGGTTCAAGGCTGATGGATCATAACTTATTTTGAGTAGATTGAATTTTCATGGAGATATATTCAAACCTTGCCTTGTTGATTGAATTGCAGGACATTGACAAAGAGATTAGCGAGCTGAAAATGTCTGTCAACTCACGGGGGAGGCTCGTTGCTACAGAGTTCTTGAAGCAATTCATCTGATGAAAAACGACTCCAATTTCTTGAGTTGAAACTTCTGTAGATGCTGCTAATGACTCTTGAAATAGTTTCACTGTACAATCTGGTAAACTAGGTGCAGGTAAAAGTGTTTGTAGAGAAATCAAACATCAGATATCATGAGACTACAAGTTACGCGAGAATGTGAAGAGATAAGAAGTTGGATTTGGACTTTCTGTCGATCGTTGTTGAATTTTGGAGGCTAATCCACAATATTTGAGATTGATACATTTGCTTGGCTTCTTTTAAAAGCCAGAAAATAAGATTATATTGAATGCCGATTCTCAAAAACATGCAATACATACAGTCACGAAACGAGTTCCCAAGCTTTACGCATAATGTCATCATCCACAAACGGCCTTAAAGACCACATCTTGCAATACGTCTCCAGCTCCCCAGACAACAAAGACTCGTAGCTTAGAGAGGACACTATTCGGACTTGCATTGCATAATCTTGTTTCACCATACTGTACACGTAAGCCATCATGGCAGCTAAATCAGCAACTTCAAGTTTCGTAATTTGTTCTCCATCGCTCAAAGTAAAAACAGGATCCGAATCGCAACTCAGATCATCCAGAAGGCCTTTGAGTTCATTCACAACAATTTTAGCTCGATTAATATGGTCCTCAAGTCCAAGATGGCACTCGTGCAACTTGCTGACATTTTGTACACAGTTGTGACAGTTGACATATCCAGATTCCACGTAGGACAAAATTCTTCTTGAGTCGTGAGCTTTAATAATGCGCTCGACCAGTTTTGATGTCTTGTTAATGGACGGCTGTCTTAAAAACTCGAGAGCTTGCTGAAAGCCGATGAGTAGAGTGCAACCGGTGGACATGAGCTCTTCAAATTGAGCAACTCTCGTCATGAATTCGGAGTATACTTTGATAATTTTATCCTTTGGTTCAATATCTCGGTATTCTCCATCTTGCATTGTACACTCAAATCTCATTAAACATGAAATGAGTGGCGAAAAATTATAGGATTGTAGACACTCCGCCTCTCTGTAAGAAAGTGGAAGAACAATGACGATCAATTAATGCAACAAAATGATAAATTGAAGAAACAATGACATCAGCAAGTGTTAGATCAATAAAACAGAAAATAACTTATATATTTACAAGAATTCACTCCCTCAAATTATCAATTTATCTCAAATTACCACTTTAAAGAATCTTTAAGAACAATTTATCCTCTTAGCAGGAACATTTTTCACATTATGAATTTACAAATCGCTTCCCTTTCCACATATGGTCTGTTCAGAAGCTTTGTAAAATAGTGGTTCCCAATAATAACAAGCAAGAGTGATAAAATAGACCGATTTACTCTGCTCGGCGGTTGGCCGTAAAAGATGAAGTCGGTTCCAGCTGCGTTTTAAAGGCCCAGGTTGAAATGATGTCGGCCCCGGTGACTGCTTGAAGGATCCATCAATTGAAGTTTGATTCCAAGCTGCGATGAAGTCGGTCTGGACAAGTCAAAGTCGGATTTTGGCAACTGAAATCGGGTTTCGAGGTGATTCGGGACGTTTCGAGGTCTCGTCTGATATCGTGGTTATTGCAGGTGCAAATCCGGACGGTGTTGGAAATCGGGTGAGCCCGCTTGCCCGACTTGTGATTTTTATTCTTGTCCTCGAAGTGCCACAGTAGTAATTTCTGATTTGGTAATTTTTGGGGTATATCGTTGATTTGTTGTGTATTTTTGGTAAATCAATCAAGAAAAATTGAAGGGAAAATCAAGAATATTAATCTCTGTTTCTTGTCCTAGGAAGAAGGAAAGGAAATTACGAGCCGACAGAGAAAGAAAAAGTAAGGCCCCCTAGACATTCTAATGGGCCCTTAGATGTTGGGCCTTTACAATATTTTACAAATATCAATATAATAAATCAAATGTGATTGCGCAGGGCCAAATAATAATAAATAAATAATGGAATAAATAATAAATTTAACTGATATTTATTTTGTCGGTAATTATTGTGTCTGTCGGGGTGGTTTTTTTATAATATCCGGGTTGGGCTGATGACGATGAATTCTGCTGACTCGAATACGGACAATTTTGACTTTTGGGGACTTATTTAATAATAAAATAAATCGAATAACCTGCTATTTTTATATTTATTTAATATATATATCCACGTGTATTTATTTAATATATATATCCACGTGTATTTATTAAAATAAATCACACACTTGATGAAATTTATATAGTGCTATATGTTTTGGATCCTAATTTCGTAATTAGACAGTTTTAAATTCAAGCATGTACTGATAAATTTTTATTATATAGTCCATTTACTTTGGACTAGTACAGAACCCGTGCGATGCACGGGGTGCACAATTTTAAGGCTATTTATCCAAACTTATAATTATATACATGAATAAAGAAAAATGTACGGGATATATATAGTACGTGACCCGTGCAAAGCACGAGATATATTTATTTGGAGAATATTATATTATAAGATGCAATATTCAATAAAAGTTTATAATACGCAAGAAAATTGTACAATGTTCAATAAAAGTTTTATAATATTCAAGTGGAGTCTTAAAGTCTCTTGTACATAAGACTACTGACAAAATAATATTTTAGATCAATGAGTTTCCTTTCCTTGTAACTAAATTGTGAATGTGATTTGAGGAGTACAACAAATCGATATATAGCTGACTTGCTTTTTCATTGTAGTTTTTTTCTTTTTTTTTTCTAATAATGAATTTAAAGATATTCTAGAATATAGCAAAAATTAATTTTTTTTGTTACAATTAGGAATTTTACTAAATATAAACTCTCAATCTATGGTGTTAATCAACGTTTAAGTCTAAAAAACTAGGAATTTTTACCTCTTCTAATCAACGTTTAAGTCTAAAAAACAATAGAGTTATTATAAGTTTTTTTTTCTACATCTTTTAAAACATTAAATATGAGCATGTTAGGGGGCTTATAAAATAATTAATATATTATCTCACTAAAACATTTATACTAATAAAAATTTAATTTTAGCATATAAATTTATCCCTTGATATAAGAGAAAGTAATAGTTTTACTTATTGTTGTTCACCATATAATATTTAATTATTATTTTATTATATAATAAAAAAAATATTGTTAAATAGTGTAGTAGAATTGTTATAAAATTATATGATTTTTTTTTTTTACAATATGGATTTAATATTTTTTTTTATGATTTGATAATATAAACAAATCTATACTTAACTTTGACAAATAAAACAAATAAATACTTTAGTAAGTATTTAATGTATATACTAAATAGGAATATATTTGGTATAATCAAATACCAAATATAATCAAATAAGTCAAAGTGTACATTTTTATTTGGTATTTGATTTTTTTATTATTAAAATCTTTTTATTATACTTATATTTTTAAAATAAAATAAATAAATAAAATAATTAAATAAATAAAATATTATAATACAAAAATAGTAATGACATTTAATGCAGTTGACTTTTCTGAATAGTAAATATAGTAAATAGAATCTCCTTTTATATAAGTATAAATTGTATAATACGAAAATAGTAATGTAATAAATGTTGTTGACTTTTCTTTACACTAAATCTGGTAAATTGTATACTTTTTAATATAAGTATAGATATTGAATATGCTAATCACGTGAATAAGAATATTGACAAAGAGCATATGGTTACTAATAAACCCTTGTAAAAGTCTATATATGTACGTGTCATGTTAATGTAATAAGACAACCAAAAGACTAAAGTCTAAACAAAACACCACCACCAAATACTTTTGCTATTTAAATAAAAATGCATATTTTCTTAAATCCAAATGTTAGATTACAAAACATAATTAAGGAAAAGTATGATATTCATTACATAAGTATCCATTATTGTTTAAAAAATATGAATAATCAACCCATTTAACAATTAGTCTGTCTCATATACAAAATTACGATCAATTCAATTAGGGCCGCAAGTGCGTGGGCCAACATCGCTAGGATAATTAGATCTTTTAAAAGGCCCACATACAATTTTGCAGTTATATCTGAAAATTGAATTGTGACCACCAGCTCTCAAATACTCTTCAGGTTTCATTTAAAATACTTGAATTCACCCAAAATCCAGAAATGATATATATATCAACCACATAATCTAAATAGGATTAGGTTATAATAATTTGATAAAGTGCGCACAACTATGAATGCTCCACCGGATTGGAAGGATAAGAGAACTAACTTCAGAGAAAAAAATAAAATAAAATAAATCCATTGTTCGTGGATTTCAAGAGATTTTAGAGTTCAATGTTTACTAGTACGTAGCCCGTGCGATGCACGGGACTTAAGTATTAAATGAGTCATTTTCACAGAGCTTGTCCGTTAAGTAGCTCGTGTGATTTACGGGAGATATTAAATGAGTGGACCATATGGCTTGTCCGTTCAGACTTAAAAAATAATTGAGTTTGATCATCTATCTTTTTACATATTTTCATCAACGTCATTTTTTTTTCGGAACATTAAACCTGAGTCTGGTAGCGCAAGCCCGTAATTAATTAATATATTATCTCGCTCACATGTTTATAATAATATAAATTTGATTTCATTATATATATATATATATATATATATATATATTTATTCCTTGATATAAGAAAAATAACAATTTTACGTAATCTTGTTTCTCGTATAATACTCATATTATTTTATTATAAAATTTATTGTAATATAATTTCATTATTATTATTTATGCAAGTTATAGATATAGTCTTCTTCTTCTTTTTGTTTTATATAATTAAAATATTTAAGGTATGTTCATATTATTTATTAATGTAATTAATTTAAATTATGTAAATAAAAAATAAAACATTTTGTACAAACATTTTACAAAATATACACAAATGTTTTTTTAGAATTTAATTTTATTTATAATAAATAAACATCTTTGAAATTCTATGCAATTATTAAACATCCTTGATATAAATTCGAAATCATAATTGAATTCTATGCAATTATTAATTCTGTTCGATGTTATGAAAAACAATTCATTCGGAAATGATTATATGTAAGTTGAGATAAAATGAAATGTATCAAAAAAATCAGCTTATGATATTTTTCTTTAAATATTTGAATGAATTTGAAATTCAAATTACAAATCGACCTCTAGTTATTCAAATAATTTTAAGAAAGTTAACAATTGTAGTAAAATGTACGTGACAATATATTATAAATATACACGACGTCAGTTATGAATCTTTAAGTTCCTAAAATATATATTGTTTAGATATGAAACTAATTAACTTATATGTTAAGAAAATATATATAAATATATGTATTGTACAAAATATACACGTGACAAGTTATTATATTTGTTTATATATTGTTTGTGTTGTTTATTATATTTGTATATAAATATATTGTTTATATATTTTTCTGTATTGTACGATAAATTATTATATTTGTTTATGTGTTGTTTAAATATATATTGTTTAGATATGAAACTAATTAACCTATATGTTAAGATAATATATATAAATATATGTATTGTATGAAATCTTTAACGTGTTTGTTAAATTTTTCTCCTAAAAAATTCAAAATACATTTATGCATGTTTTGTTTGAAGTTTGAAATGTAAATATGCATCTATATAACAAATCCCATGATTTATGCTAGCATTAAATGCTACTTGATTTTTTATTAAAAAAATTAAAAAAACATACCAAAAATGGAATGCAATTAATATTCCCTATTTTTTTGCTTACTATTTTTGAAAAATGTTAATTCTTATTATATATATATATATATAGATAACTAGAACTAATTATTTAGGTGTGTCTCAAAAAATCATATTGAGTTGTGTCATTTGATTTTTCTTTTTAATTTTTTTATTTTTATTAATGTTCTAGAGTAATATCTATCAATATTAATTGAGACGAAAAAATTTGATATAACTTATATGAAAATCTAATAATAAATATAAAAGTTATTAGCATTTTGAAGAAATTTGTAGTTTAATTTATCAAATGTTTTACAATTTTAAAAGTCCTACAAGTGAAAATTTACTTGTAATACTCCAAACAAAAAAAAAGTAAAATAAAATTATTGAGTACCAAAATCCAAAATATAGAATTACAAACACCAGAAATCGACATATATTCTGCATTTAAGTGTGATGGGATTATGTAAACTAGTGTGTATCCCGTGCGCTGCACGGAGGGTTTTTACTTGAAACCTTTTCTAAGACTTTATATTATACATAGTTATTTATGTTTAACATCTTATTATTATAAAAAAAGAAATACTAAATATAAAAAATTATATATTATTTATTTGAATATAATGAGTGTCCTAACCAAACTAATAACATCCAACATATGATATATGATAAAATTAATTATATGATCGTCATACTTTTTGAAAAAATATACATATATTTCTAATAAACATGTAAGATCCGCATTGAAATTTGTATTTGGATATGGGATGAAAAATGAATATGTACAAATAAAAAAGTACCAAGAACCTACATAAAATGAGATTCTTTATAAACTTTAAAATATTTTGTAGTTAAGCAAATATTAACAAACATAATCATCAATTAAGTTGAACTTATCGAATATAAAATATAATTTATGATATCATTGACTATATTTACCCGTTGTATTTAAAGTTATCATTGACCATATTTTTATGAATTAGGGTTTACAAAATATCTTTTTCAAAATAACAATTTTTTTTAATTTGAATTTGACTTTTTCATCCAACCGCCATTTTC